GTCTAAAAAGCAGTGTCTGACATAAGAAGTCCTGTCTCTGTTGTTAGTGGTCTGGCTGGAGGGGACCTGTGAACTACCAACCCTCCACTTGGGGGGTCGGGATCATGCAGTGAGGACAGGCAGTCTGAGGAAATTTCTTTGAAGCAGACTTGGGATCAGGCTCCATCACAGAAACAAGTGTGGGGGATCAAAATAACCTACTGGCTCAGGCAGTCTAGCCCACTGCCACAGCAAGTTACCCCTGTTGGCTATGTAGATTTCAATGTTTTTCCCAGTGTTTTCCTAATGGGACTTTCACGGCATCTCTTAGAAAATTTTCCAATAGATTCCACTGCCCTAAAGTCTGCCCTGCTCTTTTGCCTACGGTTTCCTGCTTAATACTCTTGTTCCCACTGAGATATCCCACTGTCCAACTCTAAATAAAGTACTGTCTCAGTTGTCATCTCCACCTTTCAAACACATCCAGAGGTTTTCAGCCAGCCTCTCTCAGACTTTGTTTGCCTACATGGCACAGAATTACCCCTTTCAGATTTTTCTTAAGGCTTACTCAAGTCAATCCCTCTAGGCTCATAAAATGTTTTTTCTTGCTAGTCCTTGGCCTCCTTCCAGACTGTCAATAACTTTCTAGGAACATGATGTGTGGGACACAGGGCGGTTCTGCATGCTATGGATGGCCAGTGATGGTAGGGGCAGGAAAGGTCTTTGGCTGATGTTGTCATGAGAGCAAAAGGAAATGTTTCTCTGGGAAGTCTCAGGCTCTGACCGTACCAGATGGTGGTCTGTAAAGACACAGGGAAGAGAGAAGCTGGGCAAGGTTCATAGCTAGCTCTAACAAAACCTGAGTACAGAAGTTGGGTTTATAGCAGTTTGAGATGTGTATTCCCCATGTCAGGTACTGTGCCAGGACAATGTCCCAGTTTACAATCACATCATGGAAATTACTTTCTTATCTATGGTAGCATATCCGTCCCACAGCTTTACCAGACATATTGAGTAGTCTGTGAGGTGGGTCTGGCTGGTGGTCTTTGTTTCTCCACATAACAGAAACTGAAGGGAGGACAACTTCCCATGAGGACTCAGAGGTGAAAGATCTAGGGCAGAGCCACTGCTAGTCATCTTCCCCCTGCAAATTCTGTGCTCTTTCTGAGTGCAGAGAAAAGGCTGTTGCTATAGAAACCAGTGGGGAAAATGTACATTATATCATGTTTTATATATTTTTCCAAGGACACCCTTTAATCTGAGCCTGCTACCATATATTTTTAAAGAAACAATAATGCTAATAAAACCCCTAAATGTAATAGTGATTTCAAATCAAATCAAATAATCATTACTTACTTCAAAAACACCTCTGCCTGTAATCTTCTCTGGGACAGAGCTAGCAAGGCAGCCCACAATATGGTGCATGACAGGAGGGTAAATCTAAGGCAGCAAAAGGTGTGATGTGAGGTGGGAGGGTGGGTCCTACACAGCAGTAAGTGGTGGTTAACATTTGAGGAAGGACAAAATAGCTAAATAAAATGTTGTCAGATTTGACTTGTGTGTGGAGAAGGATGAAATAAGGGTGAAAGCTACATTTTGTAGCATACACTCTAGCCTACCTTTTCTCTTCTTTACCCACCCAGCCTACTATTGCTATCCTACCTTTGTGAGCCTCCTTCTGAAGCTCTTTTCTCTGCTGTTGCCCTTTTAAAGATTATTCCACCATTTCCTACTTGTCTTTGTGATAATAACAAGCTCTTTGGCCTCCCAGACAATCAGACCTATTGCACCCTGGGGTCTCAAGGAGACAATGCTCTTTGTGAGGCTGCACCATGAAAAGCCTTTCTCTAGCATCAGACTGGCCTGGTGGCAGCAGTCCTCTTGGGGATCCTTCAGAACAGAAGCCTAATTTAGTCCTCTGGATGTCAAAACAGGATTTTTCTCTGCCCTTCCCACCCTCAATTTATTTTTTACTTAATTCACCATGACCACTATTTCCTTCCTGATTTGTACTGACCCTGTGGCTTAATTAGATTTTTGTCATTATTTACAGTAGCTCCTATAATGTGTTGACTTGTAATTTCTTCAGGACAAGGACTTTCCTGCTGTGTAAAGAAATGTACAAAATAAATCTCAGCCCTGTCTTGTTCCAGGGCTGTGATTGATCCTAAGTCAGGTATATGTCCCTGCTCGTTGTCCTGGAAGTAAGTACACAAAAAACATCAGCGAGGCTTTGTATTACTAATGCTAGCTTTTATATGCTGCAATGTAGGACAAGGTAGCTATTGGAATAAAACAATTGTGCTAGGTAAGACCAAGTAAGGGTACACCTGCTTGCAGCATCTTTGCTGGACTGATCCCTTACTCCAGGCTTGCCCTTAGTCCAGTGCATTTTCATGACTTCTTGGGTTACAGTAAGTTCTGTGCAGGTCTCCTGAATCCTGAGGGGGGAAAAAAAGTTATTTCTCTTTCCATTGCTTCCGAGGCCTGGCTGTAGGTCTGCTCTTTGCTCCTTTCAGGGTCTCACTGTTTCTGCACACATGAGTTTCCCATGAAGCCTTTCCCTGCGCTGTCTTACAGCAAGACACGTTCAGCGGTTGGCAGGGCAGAAACAATTCCCCTTTCCTCTTCCTGCCTTACCTTACGTCCCCTGTGCACACAGGTAGCCTTGCTCTCTGTTTTCCAGTCCCAGCCCTTTTCACAGAACATAATGGCTGCTAACTGTGAATAAACAACTGAGACACATACTGTCTGTTTTAGGGGCTGTAAGCACCTCTAGAGCCCAAATAATATACGAATATTAATAGAATGACTGTAATGATGTAATAAAAGCAAAAAAATAAATGTCCTCAGGAGCATGATAATCTAACTTCAAAAGCAGTTACCATCAGTAACCAAATGCAGAGGGAAGACTAGGATTACTTTAATAAGATTACCTGCGTATTGCCATTTGTTTCTGCGGGTGACTGTAATGCTGCTTCACCTTCACTCCCAGCCAGTTTCTCAGATGCTTCTCACCCTGTGCATTGGCTGGCCAAGCTGGACTGTGAAGCTGGGGCTCACTGGTCTTCCCATGGGATCCAGCATATCTCTGTGAACACCTGCTCCTTCATCTTCAGCCTCCCCTACTCTTGTGCCCTTGCTGTGACTGCAACGTTGTTTTTCCATGCCCTGTGACTTCATATCCATGGTGGAAAAGGCAGGAATGGGAGGACATGGAAGGGTGAGGAAAGCTGGTGTCTTTGAGGAGATGGAAGGACAGTAGGGAAAATAATTGTAAAAGGTCAGTGTTGTAAGATAAAGGCAGGGACTTGATGATTATGGAGGCTCTTTAAAAATTCAGCTTTATCCAGCAGGCGAGGGAGAGCGGACACAGACTCAGTAATGCAGCACATGGGCTATAGTGGAAGGAGTTCCTCTCTAGCTTCCTGGAGCCTCTTAATCCAACCAACGGCCAGTGCGCATGCCCTTCTCACTCTGTCTTCAACCCCCCCATGTCCCTGTGGTGCATGAGCCCTAGAGTCTGATCACTGGTACATTCAGTAGTCATCCACTTGGGTGGAGAGTCTGTAGGGAGGTAGGCATGTGCTCAGGGAGACCAAGACTCATACAGCTGAGAGGTACAGATGGTGAGATGGAGAGACTGCTGAGAGCAACAGTGATGTCTCTGCAGAGACCACATTAAATCACACCAGGGGTGAGCACACCAGCTCCATGCGTGAAGGAGAAAGTGGTTATTTTCTCATGTTGAAGGCAGCATGGGGAAGAGTAACTGCTTCTGCTTGTGAGGATATCTGTACATATAAGTCAATGTTCAGATAGACAGATAGATAGATAGATAGAAATATGTAGGTATAGACACAGTTCTGTTCCAAACAGACAAATATGTAGCCCCTGGTGTCTGCAGGACATAAAAGGCTCTTCCAGAACTTACTGGAGATCTCATCAGGGCTCTCAACCCACAACTCACTTGCCTAGATGCACCTGCACAACGAAAAAATGGCACCTTCCTCATTATTCTTGGAGAAAGTAAAAAAGGACCAGGACACAGCTAAAAAATAAACCAGGTTTAATCATAAACCATGTTACATATTTATAGATAGGGAGGGGGGCATGGTCTGAAAGGTGCTGCCCTGGCAACAGGAATAAAAGAACAGTGTATTTTATCAGTCAATATACAGTACCAATGAAGGGTGGAGCTGATAAATGGATATGGGATTTTGAGTCCCAGAGGCTAACTTTTACAGACAACCATCATTCTTGGTTTCCTGTCAAATTATAGCATGAACTAGCTCACAGCTCTGACCAGGACACAGCAAGGCAGATACAGCCAAGAACAGAATTTGAAGGTGAGTGAGGGGCAAGATATCTGAAGGTCGTTCTGAGGTATATATAATGTATATACTCTACTGTTGTGTACAGTCTTGGGGCCATACTTTGCCCACAGTTATGTGTGCACACATCTCATTCCAGTCAGTGAGAGTGGCAAGCTCACATCTGAGAGAATATATTTGTCTTTGAGGGCATACAGGAGCACATTGAACAACAAAGCCAGAAGCAGAACAGGGAGAGAGCTGAAGACAAGGAAGCCTGGACTGAGCTGAGAACAGGAGGAAGTGAATGGACGGTCCCAGATTTATCTGGCCAGCCAGTTCAGCCCTGTTTGGACAGTCAGCGCAAAGCTTCTGTTCTGAAGGACTTCTGCAGTGCAAAGGTTTCCATCAAGGCAACCTTTATCAGACAACAGGGAAAACCATGAACAAAATTACTAGAGGCATGTTAACAGAAGAAACATGATGGAACTGGCCCTACAATTGTTTAGTTCTTAATTTTGAAGGAAAACCCAGTCCTGCCTCTGAAGTGGTCTAAGCCAACATATGAATCTGGTCAGTCTTGGCTGAAATAGGCAGAGGAAGGAACCATTGCTTTGGTGGCCAGCAAGGCAAAGGGTGGCATTTGTACTATGGTATTCAGAGTTGGTGTGGCTGCTTTGAGAAACAATATCACACCAGGCTTGCAAAGCAGTCAGATGTATTGGCTTTTTGCAGAACAATTTCACATTCAATCAATGTACATATTATATAGTTTTACAGATGAAAAACACCTTTCACTGCTAGAAAGCAGACACTGTTTTGATATCAAACACGCTTGCCATCTGATTTTGCTAAGAACCCACACCCAGACAATAAAAAAACCAAATCCCAAATAAAATCTATAATACAAAACAACGTTCATGTTGATGTCAAATGATAACTGTCCCAGCAAACATAAAATCAAGATCTTAATGCAGGTCCCCTCAGAAGCGAGTTAGAGTCACACGTCCATGTATAGAGACCACTCCCCATCTGGGAAACCTCAGTAAGACTGTTGCCCTTTGAAATGCAAGTCCCATTTTTTAAAGGAGTGCTCCACGCATGCATGCACACGTACACACGACACACAGAGATACACACACGCATACACATAACCTCTTTCTTAGCAAGAGCTGCATGCTGGGTAACTGTTAATGCCTTCTGTGCATTTCTGACCTACTTTTTTGTAAGGATGAGGTTGAAATTTCTTTACTTCTCAGGTCTCTATTCTTTAAACAAAAAGGGGAATGAAGAGGAACTACATTACAAAGACAGAATAATGCACTTGTATCTCAGGCATATGATTTTTCCCAGTCATTTACAAGGATGATGTTATTTACATTTGTGACTCAGCAGAATCTGCCGGACGAGTTATCCTTTCTCCATGTTGGGTTTTCTCGATGAACCCCGTGAGCTCATTCTGTGCTTCCACAGACCATTTTTCTTTAAGGCACTGCATGTGGATGATGACTTCAGACAGAAGTGCAAGCCCCCTTCATTGGATCGTACATTTCTCCCTCTCCCTTGACTGACCTTCCCTGAGAACTTTCGATTTGATGTACTTCAGGTCACTGTTGACGCTTGGCCGGCGAGCAAAGGGAGAGATCATGCCATAGGCGTCCATGTCCTTGACTCGGCGCATCCGGAAGGATTTCTGTTGGAAGGTGTCACCATACTGGATGGAGATTTTCCTGTGGAGCGCAGGGCTCATCTCATGAGGTAGCTTGGCCATGCTGAAGAGGACATAGAACATCTCATCCACATTGGTGTTCTTCTTGGCTGAAACTTCAAAGTAAGCACAGTTTTCGTCACTGGAGACAAGGTTCTCACCTTCATCTGAGCGTACCTTGCGGAACATTTCACTGTGGTCATTTTTATTGCCACAGATCACCATGGGGAGGTCAGCTGTTTCCTTGGTCTTGTTCTTCAGGCAGGATTTGACCTCAAGGATCTGTTTCTGGAGCCTCTTGACCTCATCAAAAGACTCTCTGTTGTCCAAGCTGAATACCAGGATGAAAACATCCCCTGCAATTAAAAAAGGATACTGTAAAGGCTTGTTGGTTGCAACTTGTGTCAGAGGAGCTAATTTTCAAAAACCAATAGGTTTATTTGCCGTCTCTTCCCCATATTTTTTGTTTGGTCCTTTTGAATCTGTTCATTAAGTACTTTAGTTCCAATTCTTCTAATTCAACTCTCTACTCTTTTCTGTAGTGCTATGGAAAAGACTTTTGGCTATGATGTTACTTCAGCCATATCTGACTTTGTGTTCCCAGGTTGCACTAGACTTGCAAATTATTGCCCATTTGTACTCTTTTTTTAAACATGTGTCTGTCTCAGCTCTGCTACATTGCTTATCTTTTTTCTTCCTTTTGTTTGTATCTCTGCGTAAAACAGAACCTGTTCTGACACCAGGAAGAATGGAGAGCTAGGAGCCGCTCAGCCTTGACCTTTTGATTATACAATACAAGAAGCAACACCTGAACTGAAGATTTACAGCTATTCAGTCCTGAACGCCTAAGTCAGGAACGAGAGGTTTCCCAATGTGCAGTGCTCTGCTGTCATTTCAAGAGAAACAGACCATGGAAAAAAAGAAATACATAAATGACACAGATCCCCTGGCATTTCCTTTTGACATTTCCTGACTTAGAATTCCTTTTGCAAATATGAAATAACGCAATTCATTGCCTGTTGAATGACATTCGTGTGGAACATGCTAAGAGAGCTTTCAGGGACAAAAGCTCACATCTGCATCCCAGAAACTGGCCCTAGGACCTCACTGAATGTGGACGCTAGCCTGGTCAGATGTGAATGTCATGTTTCACTGGCTAGCTAGGAGGGTAGATAGCAAATCCAGAAAGCAGGTTTGTTGTGAGCTGTGACTGAATATATCTCCACTGTCAGTTTCACAGTTATGTCTTAGCTCACAACAGGAACTGCTTGACAAAAAGAATGCACAAAATGAGCCCACCATTTTCCCTTTTTCCTCTTGAATTCATTTGATTAACCACTGACTAAGGAGAAAGGGTAAAAGTAGAGTTGTCCTTTTACTGGAATATCAGATCAAGGGAATCAGGCTGGAAATTTTAGGAAAAAAAATCTTTGACGTTTTCATGGTTTGAATTCCCTTCCTGTGCATTTTACATTTGTTTTTCACTGCTTGTGTCTTATTTACATGCTTATTTTGTCCCTTGCTGCTCTTTATGCCCACAGGATTTTATTCAGCCATTCATTTGTGACTGCAATAAAAAATATGGAGCAGGAGGGAAAGGTAGGGAAATAAACTAGGGGGAAATCTCAATTTCAGACCTTCACCCAGTGGACTTCTCCTCTGTGGCTAATGCACTCCCTGTAGTGCCTGGAGCATCCCGGCCAGGAAATATCTTTCTAGAGAAGTGCATCTTGCAACTAAATCAAAGCAGTCCTTTCAGCTATCTCTCAAGAAACAGTCATCTCCAGGCTACAGTTTTCAAGCTAATGTCTGTCATTATGATCTTTCACCCACTGTTCCCCATCTGCACACTTCCCCCCACTTCTCACCTGTCAGGATGGAAAGCCTCCTCATAGCGGGGAAGGGGTGATTCCCAGAGGTGTCCAGGATGTCCAGCTGATACATGTCTCCCCGGATGTTGTAGACCTTGCGATGAAAGTCCTCAATGGTGGGAGTGTACTGGTCCTCAAACCGGCCATTGAGAAAGCGTGAGACAATGGAGCTTTTCCCCACCCTGGAGGCTCCCAGCACTACCATACGGTACGAGTTCTTGGCTGGCACATTCAGGGTGCAGTTTCCACCAGACATGGTCTTCATCATTGCTTGATCCTGAAAGAGGAAATGGAAAGACCAGGAACTAGATGGAGGATGGAGTAGGGCAGCTCCTTACCACAAGCTTGTCAAAGAGTGCTCTGGAGTGCGGTCCTCGTTAGTAGATCAATGGTTCATACAGAAATCTTTTCACTGCAGATGCTTAATTTTTTTCAGTCTCCTTTCCAGGGAGTGTTTTGGTTTTTTTTTGAGGGGGGGTCTTTTCTTTTAAAATTATATAAAAATGAAGGAACTTACACTGAAAATAGCATGGTTTTGAATTGTAATTTACTATTTTGTTTAAACATTAAGGGCTAATTTTATCAGCTGTGCTTCAACTTAGACACCAAATTCCTTCCCACCATCTGCGTCACTTAGACATTACCAGATTTTTCAGTAGAGCTTGATTCTCATTTAGATACATAAACACAGAGGTCAGATTTCCCAATATACTGCATCCACTGCAGCTGCCATTAGGACCTAGACCGCTTCGTTTGGTTGCCTAAATAGGAGCTGCGCACAATATTCATTTTGAGATCAACCAGAAGTCAGGCAGAAACAAGAATCATGCTTGATATCAGTGGAAGCTAGACATCTCAGTAACTTTAAATCACTGGTCTCATACAACCTTCATTATTGATGCAGGGGGTTTCAACCACAAAATAGCATTGGCCGATGATAGGTTCTAGGATCTGTGCTGTCAGTGACCTTTTAGAAATCAGATTTTAATCTTACTGTTTGGACTGGTAGTGTGGGAATTCCCTATCAACAAACTATCAGCATTGCAGCAGGATGGCTGGCAATGGATGGAGCTGCAGAAACGTAGATTTCACAGGAGTTTCAGTCATTATACATACACAGCTGTTGTGGGTGTCACAGTCTTTGCGGGTGCTAAGTACAAGCAGGAGAAAAGATGAAGGACAGCCATCTTAAATAGCTATTAGACAAGATTTCCAACCCCTGACAACTAAAATGAGTCTTGAGACCTTGGAGATCGCATTTTGACATAGCATTCAGATGCAGAAAACTTTGATAGGAAAAAAAAAAGTGTTGCTCAGCCATTTTTCATGTACCAGTTCAAATGACTTGTGTGCTGAAAGGAAAAATATAACCCCTGTGTGTGGAAGCTAACCGTTAGAGCAAAGAAGGCACATTTTTGACAGAGTTTATTTTGGTTACTAGGATCTTATTAAAGAATAATCAAGTTCCCACTGTGCCGTTTATTTAACTGAGGTGTCGTTTATTTAATATTACAATGCGAGTACTTTATGTACACTGAAAGATCATTTCTGGGTCCAGACCTGGATTCCTGCCTTTCCCTTGAGTGAATTTTATCTCCCAAGCTTTTATGTAGCTGACACTTATCTCAGTCAAAGGCTTAAAATCTTTTACTTTGTTTAACATGTGCTAAGCACCAAAGCAGCAGTGAAGATACGGTCACTGCTAAATAAAGAAGTCTCTGGAATTCTGATCCAGCATCATTACAAGCGCTGTGCTATAGCCCCAGGCAACAGCAAAACACTACTATTTGTTATTATTGCTATAATTTGCTGCACACCAACAGCACATTCAGCCCTATCTAAGCACAGAAGAAAATGCGATGCTTTCCTCAGAGTAGCTTACACTCTGAATTATATTCAGCGGGCAGGACAGTATAATATTAGAACCAGACAGTAATGTCAGAACATAACTTTGGATGGACACACACTTATAGAGTTACGGTACCGTTGGGAATGCTGTGGCGGGAATGACAGCAAGGAGCACACCTGGTGTTTGAACTGGACTCTCTGTTTTATTTAGAACAGCAGCTATCTTTATCAGTGCAGAAACACCATATTCAGCCTCTGAAGCAACACTGCCATGTACACTATCTCTGCCCTTTCCCATGTAGCCAGTCCAATACTGTCTTGCATCCACGGGCAAATGGTGACAGAGCTGCTTTGGGATGCTTCCTTTCACCCTCTCAGATTTTGTTTAGCTGGCAGAAAAAAGCAGGGAGATAGATTTTGTGAGAAAAACTACAAACTTCTTTATGGCCCAGGATCAGTATTTAGAAATGAGTCAGCTCTTCAGTCTGGGATGGACCAGTGTAGCTGCTTGAGGGCAAGTGGACTGTGTTGGTTCACACCTGCTGAAGATCAGTTTCATACAACTTGGTGTGGCAGAATCTGGGAGTGAGCACAGTTACTCTTTTTAAGCAAATGCCTTATATCTTCTGTAAAGAATATGCACGCTGGGAGACCTGATCGTGGTCAGCAGCTTTACAAGCCCAAATCCTACAAATTATACTGCTGACTGGCAGGTAACAACTGAGCTGCTGGTGATTAGAGAAACTCCCATCACACAGCAAAGGAGGTGGACTGTGTCACTGTAGCTGCTTGGAGGGTTAATTTTGCACCTTTAGTGCAAGAGGCACTTCTCTCCTCCACTTTGAAATTAATTCCACTGCTGTGGACCTCAGCTAATGCCACTGTACACTGAACAACTTGGAGAAGGAATTGCCACCAGAGCTACCCACAGACAGGGAAGAGTAAGGCACAAGGAAGCTGAGTGACCACCCAAGGTCCAACAAATGAGAAACGTGAACAGACTCTGAGACTCTTACCTGTCCAACTCTTTCTCCTTCCCACCTTTCCTCATCCTTACATCTCTGGTCATTAAATGACACTGCCTCCCACCCCCATCAAAGGCAAAATACACGTGCTCATTTCAGGACACTTTGCCCCAAGGATGTAGACGCACTGAAGGAGAAGGAGTGTGAGGACATGCAGATTTTAATGTATTAAATAGTCACTTTATGCTGTCCTTGTTCCACCTGTCAAGGCATTCAGTCAAGAGGTCTCTTGTGCTTTCCTGCCTGCATTTCATTTCACACAGAGTCAAAAAGATGCTTTTCAGCACTTTGATTCATGGAGTTGCTACTCATCTCATCACCTCTGCTGCAAATCTGACTCAGAGCATGCCATTGAACCAGGAGCTTATATTTGTGTTTTGTGCTCTCTCTTATTACCCCACTCCAGTTTTTCTCCAGTTTAACACAATCTGCCTTCTTTCCTCCTCAGAAAAGGAATGAAACTTCAGCCTTCACACCCAGGGGTCAGGGGGAGCACAGGGACTCATACATTGAAAAAGATTAAAGGCAGAAGAAAGGAAACAGAAAGAGACCACATGTTCATGTACTAAATAAAGCAAAATCAATCAGAAGAGAATGAGGAGACAAACAACCTCCAGCTGGCTTTAATCTACATCTTTTCCTCCCAGTTTATTAAATGCTTAAGCATAGATTAATTCCCAGTGGTACCTTCTGCTTTATGCACCGGCTTGATGCTTGAAACTTTACATTAGTATTTTATATTGGTACAGCACAGGGATTTTAAAATGTCATAGAAATGTGGGCAATGAGTGTTATCTCCACTTAATGAAGGGAAAGGCTCATACACCCAGAAAGAGCTGAAACAGCTGTCCAAAATCAACATTAAACCCCATTTCTTTTGACTCCCTGCATTGTCTTCTACCTGCTAACCACCACTGCTTGTTTCATAGGCAGACATTGGAGTGAATGACAATGCAGCTGTTTTTGCATGCTCTGAAGAGCGCTTGTCTGAATTCCAGTGAGGTGCTGACAAATTTGATCCTGAGTGTCTGCAGAGAGATATCTAAAAGGAAGACATTCTTCATTCAACCTGCCTAGAGCTTTTACACCTTAGGTTTCCATCCTCCCATCAGGGGGTATGCTCCCTACCAATCCCTATCCATGAACAGACTTGAGCTACCTCTCTTGCATTCCACAGCCTTCAGCTACTGTTTGTGTCTCTGTTTGCCATTCCAATGTAATTCACTGCATCCAGCTAAAAAGGACATAGGCAGACGCAAACTGTACCATGCATAACAGACCTGTCACTTGTTAGTCACTACTAGTATCCCCGTAATTTTCACACACACCACAATCACTCCTGTGGAATGTTTGTTTCCTACTCTCATCCCAAACTCCATGCTGCTTTCTTACCTCCCTTTCCTTGGAGGAGCAGTCCTGGGTCTTGGTGCAGTCTGATGAAGCTGATAATTTTAATCAGACGTGGCTGCTGCTGTAAAAGGCTGTTGTTCTGTGGGTCCCACGTTGCTTGCTCTGGCTCAGTTCTTCACCAGTATTTCCTGGGAACTTTTAGCAAGATTGGGAGGGACCGCAGGGCTTCAGAGGGTGTTCCCCCATGGATGGTAAGTACTAGATCAGGCGACTGACATGGGCTAAAGAAGGGTCTCAGAACCAGTGGTAGCTTTTCCCTGTGGTGAGATGAGCTTTTCTCCTCACAGCCTCAGTTTGAAAGAAGGAGAAGCAGAGTCTCTCCCCCTCCCACTGGCTTTTCTTGCAAGTTGCGCTTCGTAGGCTCTGCTGGGGGGGAAGGGTCTCTGGAGCGACACCTGGTCGTGCAGGGTCGTGGGTGCATCCAGCTGGCCCACCCTGCCTCTACGCTGCCTCAGACCCTGTGGGGAGAAATCAGTGGGGGCATGGAAGTTGTCTGTGGTGAACCTACGCTTCCCCAGGTCTTGCCTGGCACAGCCCCCACCACTAGCTTCTTTTCTTCTGGTCTGAGATTTGCTTTAAAATATTCTCTTTCTAGGACAGAAAGGGCTTTTCTTTACATTTGCCAATTAAGTCTTCTTCCTTCCCTGCCTTTCTCCCTCTCTCTCTCACAAATACTGGCAAATTGCAGATTTTCCTTCTGTAGGACTCACAGATAATTGGCTCAACTCCTCCCTTGAAGTCAGTGTCAGACACAGGGGAAGGAGGGGTGCTGAGGGGGTGGGATTTTGTGCCTATTGAAAAAAATCTTTTCTTTTCTCCTCTAAACAGAAAGTTCATAGGCATTGCAGACTGCACATTCCCCATCTTTCCACCAGAGACCTGTATGTATGCATGTGTGGGGAATGAGTTAGCGTACGTGTACGAGAGACACGGAGACTTCACTTACTTTGCAAGCTGTAAATTCATAAGCTGTTTCTAAAGGCTCTATACTTCCGTGCTGATCTTTTCTGCTAGACAGAAGCCGACTGACTCATTTCCCAAGTAGGGGCTTTCTGTCCATAATTCCTGTAATTCCTCTGCCGTATGGAATACTTTCTCCTGTTCCCTCAATCTTGAAGATGTTATGTTAGGATTGCTGGTTGGGTGGTTTGATTAAGAAATAAGAACAATGTGTAACTGCTGTTCTTTCATTAATATTTAAATAAATGAAAAACTAAACTAGAGCTAGGTGATAAAAATGTAAGAAAAAGGTCAAACAAACTGAAAATGTGGGGGACTAAGGGTCAGAAAAAGAAGAGAAGCAAAGAAAAGTTAGAGTGAATTAAAGGAATTTGTTCAACCGCAAATGAAAAAACATGTTTGCAGTTTATTTTACTGTTTATTGACTCTAATTTTTTCCTCTTTTTGAGCTGAAAAAATAGTTTAGATCTACAAGTCTATTTTAAAAGATGTTAAAAAGATTGATTTTGAAAGATTTGAAATGAAGTATTTCAGCATTTCCCACTTAAAACTCCTAAGCAGAGAGAAAAAAAAAAAAGAGGAAGAAAAACACTTTGAGATTTTAAAGATACTTTGACAATAAGAAAATGGAAGGGAGGCACTATCTCCCAAATCTGAATGTAGTTTCAGGACTCCCACAGTTCTCTCTCTTCTTCTTTGAGCAAATTTACTCTTCGTTGAACACAAAGATTCCTCCAACTACCTTGTCTGTTTCATCTCCAGACCCCCCCAAACAATTCCTGCAGCTTTTGAGAAATTCCTGAGATGCTTTTCTTTTTCTCCTCCTTCTCCTCAGAGCACAAGGAGGTTTCTGCTGTTACCCTCAGAATAATGTTTCCCTCCTTTGCCTGTTCTCCCGGCGCGGTGCAGCACAGCAGCCATCAGCAGCTGTTGAGGAGGGCGCCGTGGCTGTTGCAAGCACATGGTCTGACACGCATGTATGTCTCCCTGTGCGAACAGACTTTGAAAGCCACAACACAGGGTCCTGCTGTAACCATCTGTGAGAGGCAGCAGCTCCCAGTAAAGTCAGGCCTGAGCAGGAGGTGGATTTGGGGCCCCCAGGCTAACACAAAAGCAAACCACCATTGATCGAATTTGGGAAGCAGCAGCTCCTGGCTTCCTCCTAATGCAGACGACTTTAGATTTGGGAAGGAAGAGCACAGATTGGCACAGCACCATTGAAACACCACTGGCTTCTTCCAAGGGGTGGTGAACTGGTAATGGGTCATGTCATGAACTCAGCTCTTTGTAGACCACAACACCAGGACTCCTTTGTCAGCTCCTGAGCCTTTTCTCTTTGGCAAAAAGTAGAGGAGTATTTTTACAGCTCAGAGAAATTTTTGAAATAAGATATGACGCTTTCCATTCCTAAGTCATTGGTTCAGATCAAACCTGGTCCAAAAGCTGCCATCTTTGGTGTCTGGGCAACTATTTGTGTAGCCTAGATCCAAACAGAGCAACCAGCACCCTGGTATCATTGCAAAAATCAGCAAGAAGTCAAGTCCTGTAGTGCTACAGAGAATAAACTCATCTTTCATCCCTATAGCTCACATGTTGAGTGTACGAGTTCTCTGCTAAAAAAGAAAGAAGTGTAGTCATCATGGAGACCATCTCATCAGCCTGGAATCTCAGCCTACTCAAGCTCTTTTGTAAACCAAATGCAAAACTTTTGCCTAGCCGGCTTCACCAAGCCCAAACTCCCACTCAGCTGTCTTCTTCAGCATTTACACTAGCCAGCTGAGTTCCTCAAATTATATAAAAATAAAATAGGAACATAATTGACTAGGCACCTTGGCTTTATTTGATCTCTCAGCAAACGGCTAATAAAATAATAAATTACTTTTGAAGTAAGCCATTGAAAGACAATTGCTAACTATGAGCCTTCAGAGGCTCGCGAGATGCTGCTGTAGCTTTTTGGGTTGTTTCTTTTTTGCTTCATTTTTTCCGGTGTGCTCCCAGTTCAGGAGTTGACAAAAACCTGGGCTTTCATGCCTTCCCTCACGGCTCAGGAGACCAGAGCTCAAAATTCCCTGCTTTTCCCATGATGTCCTGAGGGGCTGTGGTGGAGAAGTGACGTTAATTCTGTATATCTGCCCCCCACCTGAGAAGCAGGGACGGCAGCACCTCTTTGCTTTTAAGGTTATAAAGGGAATAAGTGGATCAGAGAAACAAAGCCACTGCCAAAACAAGAAAAAAATTTCTCAGACTCAGCAGTTTCCTCTGGTTAGTCAGAGACCATCAGCCTTTCTTAGAGGTTACAGATATTTACCAATTTAAAAGTCAAGCTTACAATGAATTACTCTCTAGAGGCATTTTTCCCTCCTACTCCTCCAGTCTCTAAAGAAAGCCTAAATGAGGATTTTATCTGGGTAAAGCTGTCTCAGAGGATGATAGGCTGTGGCTGCAGAGAACCTCCACTGCTACGAAGGGCTGTGCCTGCCTCTCTGGGTGACACTGGCCATGGCTTGTGATGCAGTCCTTGAGTCTTGAGTCTGGGTGTCCAGTGTGAGAGACAAGAGAAACAGAATGCGTGGCAGATGAGTTAAATCAACTGAACAGTATGGTTTATATAGGACTAACTGGAAGCAAATTACCTCATTGGTGCAGCAGCTCATCAGCACATTATAGCTGTCATCTCTGAGGCTGGTGTGTGGATCCTGCCAGCTCATCCATGGGGCTGCCTCATCTGCCAAAGGTGCTGTAGATGGTGCAGCTGCAGCTGGTGGACAAGACAGCTGTGCTTATTTTGGCTCTGCCTAGACCGTGGGTGAGCAGAGAGGGAGGACTTGAGAGGGCAAGTCAAGGGAAGGGGAAGAGAAATGTTGCAGGGAGAGGATGGGTAGAAAGATCATAGAATCATAGAATATCCTGAGTTGGAAGGGACCCACAAGGATCATCGAGTCCAACTCCTGACCCTGCATAAGACAACCCCAAAAATCATACTATATGTCTGAGGGTGTTGTCCAATTGCTTTTTGAATGTCGTCAGGCTTGGTGCCATGACTGCCTTGTGGGGGAGCCTGTTCCAGTGCTCCACCACCCTCTGAGTGAAAAACCTTTTCCTAATGTCCAACCTATACCTGCCCTGGCATATCTTCCTGCTGTTCCCTTGGGTCCTATCATTGGTCACCAGGGAGAAGAGATCAGTGCCTGCCCCTCCTCTTCCCCTTGTGAGGAAGCTGTAGACCACAATGAGGTCTCCCCTCAGTCTCCTCTTCTCCAGGCTGAACAGACCAAGTGACTTCAGTTGCTCCCCTTCCCATCTAAACACTTCACCATCTTTGTGGCTCTCCTCTGGACACTCTCTAGTGGCTTCCTATCCTTTTTATACTGTGGCACCCAAAACTGCACACAGTACTCAAGATGGGGCCACACCAGCACAGAGTAGAGTGGGACAATCACCTCCCTCGACCGGCTAGCAATACAGTGCTTGATGCACCCCAGGACACGGTTGGCCCTCCTGGCTGCCAGGGCACACTGTTGGCTCATGTTCAGATATACAGAGGAATGGGGAGAGACCAGATGAAAATACTGCTGTCATGTCTTGCGCTAACCACCTGGCTCCAAACAGTGGTGAAGTGACTTGCTCTATGGTGGGACACATGAGCGGGCAACTGCTCCTCAGACCCATCAGAGGAGCTTCCTCTTCACCAAAGAAAGGCGCAGCTCCCAGGCAGCACACACACTGACCACCCTGGCACCAGGGCAGCACACACACTGACCACCCTGGCGCCAGGATCTTCGGCATCATGGGCTCGTGGGGCAGAGGTGTCACTGTCATGAATAATTAATACCTTCTGCAGCTCCAGGTACTGGCTGCAGCTGGAGATGGAGACTGATGTGATGGGCTGATGCAGCAGGACCAATCTGTTTCTCTCCACCTTAAGGCAAATGACAGAAGTGACAATTGCATGCCGTACAGCTCTGGTCAGAATTAGTTCAAGACAAAAGATGTTCCAAGGCTTTTGTCTCCTCTTCAAAAGCAAATGCAACACAGATTAAATATTTAAACCAGCTTTTCTCTCTCTCTTACCATTCATTTTCATTCCCCTCATTATTCAGTAAAGCAGGCTCATTTTTCCACCCCCTCACCTTCCCTCCCTCCCTCC